GCAAATGGGTTTTTCTAAGTGTGCGTGATTTCCCTCGATTTTTTATGTTCAGAAACTCAGATTCCTCTGCCTAATTATATCAGAGCCAAAGTATCCTTTGGAAACAAAGCTTTATATCCAAAAGTGGTCTGCGGAGCTGTTCTGCCAGCGGGTGGGGCGCATGCGGCGAGGGCCGGGACAGGAGGCGGCCGCGCAGCCCGGCTGCTGACCGCAGGGCCCGCGTCTCCTCAGGGCCTCGGCTCCGCCTGCGGCCCCAACCCCCGCAGCCGCCTTCTGGTGCCGGCAGTGCTGGGGTCAGTCCCGGGGCGCGGGCCCCTGGGCGCTGCCAAGCGCGTCTCTGCGTTTCTCGGCCGAAAAACACATCTCGCGGCTCCCAGACAGCTGCGGGTCGTTAGCGCGGGGGCAGCTCCAGGCAGGGGGACAGGACCCCGAGCCCCCAGGCGCCCACGGGCCTGGAACGGCTGCAGACTGGCCGCCGGCCCCAGCCGCGGGGTGTGTGGGATCTGGGGTTCCCACCACAGGGCAGCCACCTGGAGAGGGAGCGGGCAGGGGACGCCAGCCGGGCTGGGCTCCGCGGTCCCCGGTGCTCGCCTGTCCGTCTCCCACGCCTCTGGGCGGCCACGCCTGGAGGTCGGAGACCCCGCTGGTGCCCGGGGCCACGCCCCTGGCGTCTGTTCTGCCGTCTCCTCCCGGGCCACTCGGCGGCACGCACGTCGGGCATCGGTCCAGGCGAGGCCTGTCTTCCACACCAGCTCAAAAACAGCAGCTGGAAATGTCCGTTCTTCCACCCACCCCACGCCATTGGGGGCCCCACGGGCTTGAGCGGCCGGGGCTGCTCTTCTGAGAAGCAGCTTAGGAACTTGGGGTGCCCTTAAAGCAGCCACTGGCCAGCAGGACAGTCCACCTGGGGTAGCAGGAGCCACAGTCCTGCCCAGCTGCCCTGCCCTGCCCCGGACCCCCGCAGGGCCCTGGGGAGGTGGCGGGAGGGAGGCCTGGCCCAGCCTGGAGCCTGGTGCTCGCACTCGGGCCGCCCCGTGGCCAGACTTCGGCCCGCCTCTGGTCCTTGGTGGCCGCAACCTCAGCTGGCCACCCGGCACAGCCCCGCCCCCAGGGACGCGTGGCCTCCCGTCCTGCCCTGCGTCGGGGCCCGCCTCGGGAGGCCGCTTCAGGGGCCATGTCCAGGCTCGGTGCCGCGGGCAGGGCTGGTCTGGGCGTGGAGGGGGCCGGCTAGGCCAGACCTTTGCCGGGGGCGGCGCTGTCTCCGGCCAGCGGCCTCAGCCCGCACCTCACTGGCCTTTGGGCCACCGGGCCGGGCGC